CGGTGACTGTGGAGGCCAGGTCATCTGCCGCAGCACTCCATCACTCTCCTTCTTGGTCAAATAGCCCTTACACAGCCTGGAGGTGTGTTTGGGGTCATTGTCCTGTTGAAAAATAAATGATCGTCCAACTAAACGCAAACCCCATTGATAAAGCAAGAAATTCCACTAATTAACCCTGATAAGGCACACCTGTGAAGTGAAAACCATTTCAGGTGACTACCTCTTGAAGCTCATCGAGAGAATGCCAAGAGTGTGCAAAGCGGTAATCAGAGCAAAGGGTGGCTATTTTGAAGAAACTAGAATTTAAAACATGTTTTCAGTTATTTCACCTTTTTTGTTAAGTACATAACTCCACATGTGTTCATTCATAGTTTTGATGCCTTCAGTGAGAATCTACCAATGTAAATGGTCATGAAAATAAAGAAAACACATTGAATGAGAAGGTGTGTCCAAACTTTTGGCCTGTACTGTATATATATATATTCCTGCACCCCAGACATATTTTCTAATACACAAAGCACTCGCTCCTACTGTATTTCTAAGGAGAAACACAGCGGAGAATCTAAGACGATGTTATTGTTTCATGAACGAGGCCCCATTTTCTTGACCCCTGAGGAGTTACGAACTGAAGGACAGTATGTTTCTCTTATCTTTCAAAGAACAGTTGAATTATTCATGCGAGAGACCAATTATTTTTTACATTTTTTCCTTGTCACCAGGGGCAGCCGAACCCGTTAGCATCAAAGAGAACGGCGATGGCACGCACACGGTCACCTACACGCCTGCCAAGGACGGGCCTTACACTGTGTCGGTTAAATATGCCGACCAGGAGGTTCCTCGTAGGTGAGGACTTACTCGAATCGTCTTTTGCTGCGTCAAAGGGGCTTTTTCTTAACATTTCAGGATTATGGCTGGAACAAGTCAGTTCATGTCCGCGTCCTTTCCTGTTAGAGGGCAACTGCATCGAAGGGTAGTGATTGATCTCAGCAGGATTCTGCACTACAGGATGAGTCATACAGTGCGGGCTGCTGAGGAGGTCAAGCTGCCATCGAATGCATCACAGCTTATCGTCCTCCGCAGTTTATGGGAGACGCGCCATGTTTGGTTGTTCTTCTGCAGTTGGTCACTCAGACCCTGCGATGCTGAGTAGTCCTACGAGTTCCTGACTGTTCCCCATCGCCCTCCATTTCTGCTCCTCCTCCATCTCAGTCCGTTTAAGATCAAAGTGCTTCCCGCTCACGATGCCAGCAAGGTGCGCGCCAGTGGCCCCGGGCTTAACGCCTCCGGCGTGCCCGCCAGCCTGCCCGTCGAGTTCACCATCGACGCACGGGACGCTGGAGAAGGACTGCTCACCGTGCAGATTCTGGTGAGCTTCATTATCGATTGGTTGCCGGGAGACCGCTTTCATCCAACGTGAAAAGGTTCAGTTTTAATGACAAATTAAACAACGTTTGGGTCTCACATTGTATTTCCATATATGTACTTAAAAGACGCACAAAATAATTGATTACCTACAGGAAGACTGAACTACACTTCATACCTCCAGTTGCTCAGAAAGATTTGGGAGTTATAACCTGTGTGCCTGTCGCTCCAGGATCCTGAGGGTCGGGAACAGAAGGCCTCGGTTTTTGTGGAGGACTGGGGCAGGAGGGTGTGGGAGAGGCATATTGTAAAGGGAACCATCCCCACGCCCTTTCTTAGGAAAGGCTCTGTAAGGCCATGCCGCTTGTGGCCTCCGCTTCCACCTTCCACCCTGTCCTCTGTCTCCCCAGCCCTGACCCCGACACTCCCTTTGTTCCCAGCCATACATGTTTTTACCAAGTAGAATTTCATTTAACCGAAATGACCTGTGATTTTTCCCTCAGAATTCAAATCAATTGAATGCGATGCATAGATTTTTTCTATATAAGTGAACCAAACGGAAGTATCTTTAATCTATGTGACCCGTTTTGCTGTTTAAGACACATAAAATATGAGCTGAATATCCTGTGTCAACAACGCAAGAAGATATACAAATTAGCTAACCCCATGGAACCTTCGTAATTTTATTTATTTTTTTATGAAGTTGGGGTTGACCGTCACATTGTTTCATTGTTCAATCAAGACACAGAAATCTTCATGCAAATCTCCCGTCAAACATCTCACACCTGAGTTTGTCAAACTGTACATATTAAAAGCCTTTCTGATCCCTCTAGTCTGAGGATTTGGCAGGAATAGCAAGGATTTGGGCAGAAAATTGCAAAATGGCCCCCCAAGAGCTGCTTTTGCAATAACGAGAATTCAACTAAGAGAAAACGCACCCTTTTTAAAATCCTGATATTTAGACCCTTAACTGTTCCCTCTAAGTGTGCGTGGACTGACACACATCAGATTTAACTTGTGTTTTGATGTGGTTTGAAGTCCTTGACTAACTTCAAGAAAACAATACTTTCTGGCTGTTTCTAATTTGTGAATGGCACACATATTAAATTCAATCAACTCTCTTGTGTGTCCTCCAAAAACAGTCTCTTGTGATTTCTTCAGCTGAAATAGATTCCAGAACAATGTCATTCATTTTCCATTGTTGTTTTGATGAGCTTGATCCCTTCACCATCCTCGCCGATAACCACCCGGCCACCTGGTGCTCCTGGTTTATACATGTAAACATCAACAAAGTGTAAAGGACCTAGCGGATGATGATGGTACACGACGATCACGAGGTTTACTGAGACTAAAGCAGAACGGCCAGTGTGCACAGAGACACACACTATCAGAAAGACAAACCGAATCACATGTTATACACGTATAATAATGGGCACGTCTGCCTTCCAGGACCCCGAGGGAAAGCCAAAGAAAGCCAACATCCGGGATAACAGAGATGGAACCTACACGGTGTCCTACGTGCCAGACATGACGGGACGCTACACCATCACCATCAAGTACGGTGGAGATGAGATTCCATACTCACCCTACCGCATCCACGCCCTGCCTTCTGGGGATGCCAGCAAATGCCTGGTCACAGGTCAGTCCAGGCCAAAACGTAGCCGGTGCTATTCTACAGCAGCCGTGGAAACCATTACTAAAGCATCACGTTATCTTCTTTTAATTTTCAGTATCCATTGGTGGACATGGATTGGGTAAGCAGTTGAATCAACATGAGAACTGCAGATGGAGATCAGTTGTCAGTGAGCAGGTGAATCACTGGGCCGAATCGGTTCCCTGTGGGTGATACCGATCCTTCACAGGTACAGGTCTCGGACCCACCATTCAGATCGGGGAGGAGACTGTCATTACAGTGGATGCGAAAGCTGCAGGAAAGGGAAAGGTCACCTGCAAGGTGTCCACGCCCGACGGTGCGGAGCTGGATGTGGACGTAGTGGAGAACTCCGACGGCACCTTCGACATCTACTACACGGCCCCAGAGCCGGGGAAATACGTCATCACCATTCGCTTCGGCGGGGAGCAGATTCCCAACAGCCCCTTCCATGTGGTGGTACGTACTTCCTGTCAGGGTTACGTGACAATATACGATTTATATTACTCTTCTGCCATGTTCTGCATGTTTGGAATTGTTCAAGACGTACAAAATAACTAGATGTACATTGAAACAATTTGATAAATTCAAACCAGAAGCCTACAGAATTGTTTGAACATCATTATAGTTTTATTTAACACAAATATGAATAGGCAGCTATAAGAAAGCATGTGGTAGGTTTTCCTCTGTGTGTATCTAAAAGATATAAAGAATGAAATGATGCACATCTAGAGCCTGTGTGCCCTGGGATGTGGCAGGTGTATGCGTACTGAGCTGGTAAAGACAAGCCGTTCCCTTTCACCAAGTGAAGAAAAGCAAGGCAGATGGGCCATGTTGTCGTTCTCTTGTGACTGTGAAATGTCAGGAATGAAGTTGCACTAACAGCCTTTTCTTGACGGCGTGTTTCTTGCGGACGTCTGACTGTCGGGTGGAGACCAAAGAGGTTCTGCTTTAAAGCAGCACTGGCAGACATCTTTGAATCTGTTTATTGTTTAGGAAAGGCGTATCTTTAACGTAAAGACATGTCCCAGTGCTGCCTGTGTGGTTACAGCCTTTGAGAAGGATCTTGCTGCTCTTATGGCTACGTGAGATGTCATTAACAGTGTGGAGATGGCCATGGATGTGTGCATTAACATGGATATGTTATCTCTGACTTCCCTTCCCGCTAGGCATGTGACACCATCCCTATAATCGAGGAACCATGTGACAAGCTACAGTTACATCAGCCCTACGCACCCTACCAGGGCTACCCCCCCCACTGGGTATAAACACACACACCCCCAGTCCATGGAGACACAGTATCTCCAGGGGACATTGTCCCTTCATCACCAATCCCCTCATTCACTAATACCCCGCACACTGTCATCCTCACCTCTGGAGTCTACTCAACAGAACCCTTCTGTCGAATAGCTCAGACATACCCTTGGGCAAAGCTGAGCCAAAACTGAACCATACTGGTATATACAGACTGGTATATGTGATTGATTCACTGCATAAATAAATACAATTGCCATTTGATTATAAACCATTCTGAGCTACTATAGCATGTATCACAATCATCATATGCTTAGTAGCTTAGCATTGATAGCTTTTTGCTAATACTATAGAAGTACTAGAGCCATATTAAGAGGGTATGTCTAAGTGACAGGAAATGGACACTTGTTAGCTTCAAGTTACCCTTCCCATAATCCCTCTCTACATCACTGGTTCATCCATCAGTTCACTCAGTCATCCAATTTGCTTACCACCTTGTTCCTCCTGCAGTGTCTCCTGTCCCCGCTCTGCCCTCTGTCCCATTGTCCTTTGCATTTTAACACATCCACCGAGGCAACCCGTAACGTTCTCGTGACATTTAAGCGATCCCGAAAAGGTCTGATCACCAGGCCACAGGAACGCTGTGAGAACATTGCATGTTAGCCTCTGAAAATATCAGATGGGTCATAATCATGCGCTACAGTTTTTTCAACAGAAGCAGGTCCTTGCTTCATTAAAAATTGTGGCTTTGTGATAGACCTTAAGGTAAAATTATCATAATACATTTTTTAAATATTAATTCCAGGTGCAGGCAATGGGTTTTCTGTTAAAATGAGCATTACACTGGTGATGTTGTTATGTTCATTATATTATTGGCCTTGAGTTTGGAAGTTCAGGACCTATGAAAAATTTTAGTTCTTTGACAGATCTGATTCTGTCTTCCCCTTTATCGTTTGTACGTTTTTGTACGTGTTGTTACTTTATTGTTCTCTTGGATTAATGTATCATATTTCTGTGCATGGTTTGGTGTTTTGTCGGTCATTTGTTTTCCTTTCAGCTGCTCTGTCTCTCGTCAGATCGGCCTACAGGGCCTGAAATCTTGGCTGTCTTTGTTGCCTGTAGCTGGTGTCTCTCTCAGGCCTCGACATCCCCTCCCCTTCGCGTTCTCTGGTCAGTTACGCAGTTGGCTGCTAACCCTGCTCTCCCCTTTGCACGTGTCCCAGGCCACGGAGGAACCGACTGTCCCCGCTGAGGGCGCAGAGCCCTTGCTCCGACCTTTCAATCTAGTCATACCCTTCACAGTACAGAAGGGCGAGATCACAGGTGAGATCCTTAGCTGTCCCCCGGACGACAGGGAGACATTTAAGCAGACCGGCCTTTGACGGCCCAATAAGCCCTCGGTTTTATAGGACTTGGCTCTCGCTATTGGCAGCAGTCAGTATTTACGACAGATATGTCAACTCCCAGTAAAGTAGGCGAGGTTCCTTTCCCCTGTAATCCAGCTGGATTCTCGTTTAATTTACTGATTTCATGGGAGCTCTCGTGGGTGCCTTTCTCTTTAGACTTTATTTATAGTGTTGGGTCTGAAATGAATTTTGTGCATAGCAGCAATGTGTTTCAGATTACTATTGTTAGCAATATCTGGGTTTGAAGGTTTCTTTGCCAGACCAGTCTCTTTTACACAAACACTCGTGCATATTTGTGCCAGATTGTGGTGTGTAGGTGTTGGGCTTTGTTTGGTTGTGACAAGGTGTCATTGTGCCTCGTAGGTGAAGTTCGCATGCCATCTGGCAAGACGGCTCGTCCCCATATCACCGACAACAAGGATGGCACAGTGACGGTGAGGTATGCCCCATCAGAGAAGGGCCTACATGAGATGGACATCAAGTATGACTGCAACCACATACCAGGTAGGGAGCCCCAAGTAGTGTCACTGAATAGTGTCAGTGTTTTTTGATGCATATAGTTTATTTTACCAGAGTCAAAGATATCGCCTCTCAGTAACATGTGGAAACCAAACGTAATTATCTGTGCAAAAAGAAAATAAAGTGTATAATGAAAAACACAGTTGGGATTTGGAGGGATAGCAAGACAAAAAGTGCTAGTTCATAAGCAATCACCAAAGGCTGATTTGTGTTGGATTCCTGTTTTCACAGGAAGCCCTTTGCAGTTCTATGTGGACGCCATCAACAGTGGTCATGTGACGGCCTACGGGCCGGGCCTGAGCCACGGTGTGGTCAACAAGCCTGCCACGTTCACCATCGTCACCAAGGATGCTGGAGAAGGTATGGCCTGCTGGAACATGAAACAGTCGTGTGGAGTATTGTCGACTCTAGGGAGAGCTTGACGACCGGGGCTAATAAAGAAACAATTTTAAGGAAACGTCATTTTTATTTGATTTTGACTGGGGTTTGAGAGTAGCGGCGTTTTCCTGTTCTCCTGTTGTGTAGATTTCCTCTGAGTTCTCTGTTTACTCCTGTAGTCCTAATACATCCAGTTAAGGTGAACTGGCATTTCTAAATTGCCATAGTCTATGTTATCTGCTGTGTTTTTTGTTTCTCCTGCGATGGACTGATATCCTGTCCAGTGTGTCCTCTGCCTTTTGCCTTATGATGTCTCAGTCAGGCTCCAGATTCCCCTATATCCCTGTACTGGTTAAGTGGATGGATGGATGGATGGATATAGGGATGTATAGATAGATGGAATGGATGAATGAATGGGTGGGCAACAGTGTAAGAAATGATTAGAACTATTGCAATACTATGTATCGCAAAAAGAAAAGGTTCTAAGAAATGTTAAATGACTCATCGCTTTCACTCAGGTGGTCTGTCACTGGCTGTGGAGGGTCCATCCAAGGCAGAGATCACATGCAAGGACAACAAAGATGGCACCTGCACCGTGTCCTACATGCCTACTGCGCCTGGAGACTACAACATCATCGTCAAGTTCGATGACAAGCATATCCCAGGCAGTCCATTCATGGCTAAGATTACAGGTGTCATTTTCCCCCCTCCTTCTGACATATGTTTGTCACTCTTGAGCAGCTCTAGGACAACAGGGGAATGTGTGTGTTTGGGCTTCTGTGAGGCTCAGATTAGCAGGAACCACCTGTTTCCTCCATCCACCCCCTCACACTCGCGCTAACCTTTCCGCCATAAAGTCTCTCGGTTCCACATCGTAGTGTTTCCACTGTTTATGCAAACAGCCACTTCATCAGTGATTCTTATTGACGGAGGAGATTATGTGGGACGGAATGGGGATGTAAGTCATATAAGGTGCCCCAGGTTTGAAGTTTGGACTTGATCTTACTTTTGGACCTTGTGTTTCATTCCAACAAACAGCTTCAGGAACTGACTCTCATTGAGAGTCTCAGTGTTCTCAAACATTTCTGATGATATGGTGTTTTTTTTTTAGTGCTGAATGGTTTCTTGTCATTCTGCAGGCGATGACTCTATGAGAACTTCGCAGCTCAATGTCGGCACGGCAACTGACGTCTCTCTGAAGATCACAGAAACAGATCTCAGCTCGCTTACAGCGAGCATCCGAGCTCCATCGGGCAACGAGGAGCCATGTCTTCTTAAAAGACTCCCCAATCGCCACATTGGTGAGCTGCTCTGCATGTGCTAGGCCTTGGCCAATTGTGGTCATGTTTATTCTAGCCCAAAACACTACACACTATACAGTGTTACCAAGTTTTATCTGTTTAGATCTTGTAGGCGTTTTGATTAGTCTAAGATGTAGGGCTGAACGTCAAGGTTATAGAGGCAACCAGCAAGCACTTTATACATTGGGTGTGAACTTTTAAAGTATCTGTGACCTTTATGCTTTTTTCAATATCTTTTTGCTGTTCAGGGCTGCTTTTGCTGTACAATACATCTTCCCATGAGTTCCACTCTTGGTCTTATGATATGTTTTGCTGTCATGTCCAGTGTAGAGAATGGGGTTATTTTTTTAAATCCTCCCTGCGTCTCCACAGGTATCTCCTTTACTCCTAAGGAAGTGGGTGAACATGTAGTGAGCGTGAAGAAGAGTGGAAAGCATGTGACCAACAGCCCTTTTAAGATCATGGTGGGCCAGTCTGAGATCGGGGACGCCAGTAAGGTCAAGGTGTTCGGCAAGGGTCTGACGGAAGGCCACACCTTTGAAGTGGCCGAGTTCATTGTAGACACAAGGAACGCAGGTAAGAGTTTACGAGGAGGAGCCAAAATTTTAATCAGCTTTGCTTTGAGTGTGCCAAAATCGTTGCATATTGTCAGGTTATGCAATGGATCTAATTAACAGCAACCAGCGTATAAATAAATAGTACAGTGTCAGGAGAATTATGTACTCAGTAGGAGTTCCACCATACTGGAAGTGCATCCAAAGAAAGTAAGAAGTTTCCAAGCTGGCCAACAGTCAGGGACCGAAGTCAAGAGCATGACTGATGCTCACAGACACCTCTAGCTAAATAGGAAGACAGACTGATGCTAGATTACTTCACATGTCACTGACAACAGGCCCTGCTCCTCTGCTAACTCCTCTCCCGTTGCGTCACTACCAGGATATGGAGGACTGGGATTGTCAATCGAGGGTCCGAGCAAAGTGGACATAAACTGTGAGGATGTGGAGGACGGGACGTGCAAGGTGACCTACTGCCCCACAGAGCCTGGCAACTACATCATCAACATTAAGTTTGCAGACCAGCACGTCCCAGGTGAGTCACTTTTCCTGCACTCTCGAAATGCTGCCACCTGCTGATACGGGTCGGTAACAACATCCCTGCAATTCAAGTTGTGTCCGATCTCAGCGAATTGCATCATTATTCCTATCTCGTGGAGCACGATTGACGGTGATGTCTGGAGGTGGTACGATAGCATGATCAGGAGCATTTGTCCCGTTCACAGGAAGTCCGTTCACGGTGAAGGTGACGGGAGAGGGAAGGATGAAGGAGAGCATAACCAGGAAGAGACAGGCCCCTTCAATCGCCACAGTGGGCAGCACATGTGACCTCAACCTCAAAATCCCAGGTGAGGAATACAGAGTGCAGTACAAAGACAGTATGATCTGTGCGCGGCAGGACAGTCCCCATGCTCTTCCATATTGACTTCCCTCGTTAGCCTGTTAGCTTTCTTTTCTGGTCTCTCTGTCTCTTCTTTCGCTTCGGGATTCAAAGCCGTGGCTCACATTTGTTTGTTTCAGTTGTTTGACGTTGCTCTAGAGTAACAAAGGAAGCAAACACAGTGAAGGAAACAGAAAGGCTTTCGACAGCAAAATGGATAGCGGCTAATCGGGGCATGACTTTCCACCCATTCCCCGATCCGGGGGGGAATCCCCCCCACCATAGTCCCGTGGCATCAAGTCTCTCATGCCAGAGCACGAACGCACCACATCCTCCCTTCGCTCAGCTGATTGGGCACAGCCCGTTTGGTGGCTCAGCTGATTGGGCACAGCCCGTTTGGTGGAATCCCCCATAGAGGGAGCTGTTACAAGTCAGGGCTCAATTCAGTCACCATCCCAATTCCCCTTTTGACTTACAGACCCAACCTAGCATGAAGTGCCTCTTCAGGCTAATCATCCCGACGCAGCCTGTGCTCCCCACTTTGCTTGAAACAAAACAACAAATTGGGCTTTGCATTACAGATCATTAGGAGTGGAAGATCCAATTTCTGTATTATTTGTAGAATTTCCCCACTGACTAGCATGCTTGCGCACTGCAGTGAATTGAGCGCATTTCTTATTATGAGTCACGAAAGATCGAGCTTGAGGCATAATAAGGATATATGCACATTTGATTTTTTTTTTTCTCGCATGGGCTTCAGATGGTTGCATTCAAGGCTCCAGCATCTGCTTGACCTCAAAGCTGCTCTTCATAGCTTCCACTCCTCTGTTGTCTCTTTCCTTCTCCTCCTCCTCCTCCTCCTCTTCAAATGCTTCCTCCTCCCCCCACCCCCCACCCCCCAGGGAACTGGTTTCAGATGGTGTCGGCTCAGGAGCGCCTGACGCGCACCTTCACGCGCAGCAGCCACACGTACACGCGCACCGAGCGCACCGAGATCAGCAAGACGCGCGGTGGTGAGACCAAGCGAGAAGTGCGCGTGGAGGAGAGCACGCAGGTCGGCGGGGACCCCTTCCGCGACGTCTTCGGGGAGTTCCTGGGCCGAGAGAGCTTGGGTACCTTCAGTGGGATGCCTCCCCGGCAAGAGGGTGTGTGAAAGCGCCACCTGGTGGCTGGGAGTGTGAATAACAAAAACCCCATCTTTGTGGCTTGCTAACTCTCCCTCTGCAAGCTTCCCCATCAACATCATAAACACAGCTTAAATGCAAATCCCTCTCTTATTGTTGAACTCTTTCCTGTTTGCTGTTTTTTGAGTTTTAACTGTGAATTGCTTCATTGTTTTTTAAGTGCTGTTTGCTCACATGTATGTGGCACAAAAACAGGGGAAAGCGTTTAAATTTGGCTAAGGCTCTTCCACTCCTTATGGGCTACGGAGGCAGGATAGGAACTCTGTGTCTTGATAGAGAATAACGGGAGCAGTAATTTATGACCGAAAGGGCAGCCGAAGTGGAAAATATGACCTCATTGGGGCTATATCATCTGGCCCAAATGTGGCTTGCATAACAAAATGGCAGAACAAGACATTACGTATTGACATATCTTGCAGTGTGTGTTTTGTGTAACAGTAGATTTGTGCTATAAAACTGTAGAAAAAAAATCGAATAAATGTTTCGAATTTAATTCTGTGGTTGATGCATGCTTTTAATAAGCTTAATTGTGTGATGTTTGACTGCAGGCTACTGTGAGCCCTCAAAGGGGCCGGGTACCGTGCATCGGAGTTTTTCAGATCTGGTTTTTGCTTAATGGCTTAGTTTTATATGTGGGGTTAATGATATTATTAGCATTTCTAGGATGTACCCCTGCCTTATATGCTGTGCTAGCTGGGAAAGGATTCAGGCCCTCCCCTTTGACCATGTGCTGGATCAGTCAGCAGACAGACAGCTGGATGGATTTCCAGCATGCCGTTACATGGATTTTGGTGCAGGTCCCATGGTGACCCAGTCCTGAAACATGCGCTGTCTTGGTTCCCCTTATTAGGTGAAGCAGGACCCCAAGAGATGACGGCCCAGGTGACCAGCCCTGGGGGCAAGACAGAGGATGCGGAGATCATAGAAGGCGAGGACAGCACCTACAGCGTGCGCTTCGTGCCCCAGGAAATGGGCCCCCACACGGTCAACGTGAAATACAGGGGCCAGCATGTGCCGGGGAGTCCCTTCCAGTTCACCGTGGGGCCCCTCGGGGAGGGTGGGGCCCACAAGGTCCGAGCAGGAGGCACAGGACTGGACCGGGGTGTGGTTGGTGTTCCTGGTGAGTGGGAGCGATGACTAATCGGGTTTTACAGATGGGAGGTATGATACAAGGCGTTAATGGACAAGGTCCCCTCCCCCAGCTGAATTCAGCATCTGGACACGGGAGGCTGGCGCAGGGGGGCTGTCCATCGCCGTGGAGGGCCCGAGCAAAGCAGAGATCTCCTTTGAGGACAGAAAGGATGGCTCCTGTGGGGTCTCCTACATCGTCCAGGAGCCGGGTGACTACGAGGTGTCCATCAAATTCAACGATGAGCACATACCCGACAGCCCCTTCATCGTGCCCATCGCCAGCGTGTCAGATGATGCACGGAGGCTCACTGTCACCAGCCTGCAGGTACGCTGTCACCCTACCCCGCAGGGAGCACAAACACGGCCGGTTCCAAGCAACACATATGTATCTTTTATGTACTGGATTTATATATATAGGTACATATTATTGATGGACAAAATGACGCCTCATGAACCATTTGCTGTATTTTCTAACCCCAGTAGGTGGTGCTCTTGGTTTGCTTTTGGGCATGCTTATTGTCTTTTTTGAACAGAGAGCATCTTTTGGGGTCAAAAAATACAGTAAATGGTTCATGAGCCATAATTTTCTCTATCATTAGTCTCTTTCATTGGTTTATTACTTTACTGTGTGTAATGCTTTCATGGGTAGACCCTACTAATTTCATTGTGCACGTGCACATTTATGAGAAAGCTGACTTTGATTATGGCATTTTTGATGGGGCAGAGTCACAGTAAAGCTTTCATTTTCAGCGGGAACGTGTACAAGACACACACCAAACCGTCACTCTACCTTTTGCGAAGACTGGCTCCCCCCCTCTTCTTCATCGTCCAGTAGACACCTTCTAAACCCAAAGATGTCCCCGGCATAGCCAAAATAACGCCTCGAGCTAGAGGCTCAGGCAGTAATTAGCACCTTCCTGCGTGACATCTGCGGCTCCCTTGTTACTCTGTGGCTCAGCTGTGGATGTGCAGCTTCGCTGCTTTCCTGTGGCTCGTCCTCATCAAGTCCCCCGGCTGCACAAGCTCAATTTCTCAAGCCGTGAATCCCTTTAGATTTGTTTTTGTTTATCGCCTGTCGCCTCGAGTCTTAATGCCGCTTCTCCAGTGCTTTCTTGCTCCTTGATTCCACCTTTGATTCCAAGCCGGACATCTTTCCTTTGCGCTTTTCAGGAGATGGGTCTCAAGGTGAACCAGGAGGCCTCGTTCGCAGTGCAGCTGAACGGGGCAAGGGGCGTCATCGACGCCAAGGTGCATATGCCCTCGGGAGCCGTCGAGGAGTGCTACGTCACCGAGCTGGATAGCGGTACGCCACTTCGTCACCACGGTTCCGCTGAAAGCTACTATTTCTCTAACTGATTCACACTCAAGGCTTTTTGTCCAGAAAAATCCTGTAACGTTTTGAGGAAGGAATTCATGAATGGAATGGTGTTGCCGTGTCATGTGACACCCTGTGGCGTCTCCCCCTGCAGACAAGTACGCGATCCGCTTCATCCCGCGGGAGAACGGAATCCACTCCATTGACGTCAAGTTCAACAGCAGCCACATACCAGGCAGCCCTTTCAAGATCCGTGTTGGGGAGCCAGGCCAGGCTGGGGACCCTGGGATGGTGTCTGCGTTCGGGCCTGGATTGGAGGGGGGCACCACAGGTGCAATTCCATGACCAGCATGCTAATCCTCATGCATTTTAATCAGACTTAGAAAATGTTTTTTTTATTTTGCTGCATAATGCATAAATGGATATTTTCTTCATAAGGGTCATAAACAAGCCATATACATATTAATTATGCTTTTATGCTAATACACTGCAGCTCAAACTGAATGATTCTGAATGTGCTCTCTGTCACCCCCTACAGGCGTGTCCTCAGAATTCATCGTGAACACTTGCAACGCCGGATCCGGCGCCCTGTCCGTCACCATCGACGGGCCCTCCAAGGTGAAGATGGACTGTATCGAGTGTCCTGAGGGCTACAAGGTCACATACACGCCGATGGCTCCTGGGAACTACCTGATCTCTATAAAGTATGGAGGACCACAGCACATAGTGGGCAGTCCCTTCAAAGCTAAAGTCACAGGTAGGGTGCATGAATTCTCATTATATACACTCAGTCAACAACCCCTTTACCACGCATGCAAAATAAACAGTTCCCTTTAATATATTCTGTGTCTTTATCCAAGCACTCAAAGGGGTGTTGTGAGTAAAATTAGTGTGAAAGGTTTACTCATCTTAATACAGCTAGACAGCACGGCGCATTAACATTCTGTACATAAACATGCATTCTGTAGCGAGAATCAAAGTGTTTGGGTTTGAATGGGCTCTGCTGGCAAATTATACAAATGTGCTGCTATGCAGAAATGGGTGTTATTTGAGATTGCAGTGTGTGAAGAGCCCTGGATTTGCTTCGGGGGATGGGGGGGGGGGGGGGGGGGGGGGGG